ACAGGAAATAATAAAAAAATTATTGCAATGATTATAGGATGTGATCATTTTTTAATACTTTATAATTATTTATTGATGGATAGACTTCAGCAAAATTATTTAAGGAAACCTATATTAGAAACAAAGTTCAGTTAATATATAAGATATTGGTCATGCAACGATTAATATCATCGCATGATCCATATCGATGTTATCGTGCAATTATAATCATTTAAAAGTCATGATTGGCTAACTGAGTTTTAATTCGAGTATTGTTGTGTTTACGTATTAATGGACAAAAAATAACAAGAAAAAAAAATCCATGATCATAAGAGTTTGCACGATAACATTAAATATCATTAAAAATACTTTGTCACAAATTATAATGATTTCAGTTCTTATATTTTTATATTTAAGGTTTGTGCAGAATCTTTTTTTTAATTGATTACAATTGAGTATTGCTAAGAGAAAAATTTTAAAGTTTCATTTTCCCTTGACAGCGTTCATATTATTTGTTATTGTGGTTCTAGTATCATAAAATTAGTCACAATATTTTTTCAAAGTTTGAACAGTATTATATTTTACAATACTAGACAATTTTTAACAGTATTAGCGATTTTTAATCAGCATACCTTAAAGAGAAACTCAGAGCAATATTTAAAATGAGAAATGATCTTAATGAAGAATACCCAAATATTATTCTGATCCGCTGTTGCCTTCATTCCTTTAACTTACTTCAGCTTATCAACCTTTACTTTACATATAGCATGTATAATGCTTATGTACTTGGGTATAAATCACTATCTAGCTTTTAAAATTGGTAGAGGGTACATGCCATGAGGGGGTATACGTGTCCGACTTTTACTATACTTAATTGTAAAGAAACCACTATCAAACCTCAAGCTAAATATTTAGCTGCTGAATACTATCTTCATAGAGAAAAAGATGAAAAAAAGCTTTTGAGTATGCAAAAAAAACTTGCCAATAAAAATATAGTCTACAGTTATATTTAATAAAATAAGAATTGGTGACCTTTTATACATTGTTACGAATTTTAAACTTTAAATAAAAATAGCTTAACTATAATTAAACAATCAAAAAATCAAATATTTCAAATCTTCATATACATGCTTTTTAATTTATTGTGAGTAGTCAGATAATTATATGTATATTGCTAATAAAAAAATAAAAAAACAACCCTAAATTTAAAACTAATAATTTATTTA